AATACTCTCAGATAAAAGAGCTCGGAAAAATGTACGAACATGTAATTTACAGTAATGTAATGTAATTTAATTCACTTTTCATCAAAATATGTAGTCCGACATCTTGTTTTTTAACAAAGGATTATGGGTAAAGTATGATATCATAGAATCTGTTGTTAGAAATTGAGAAAATTATTTCATTTGCCAGCTTGTTGTTGTTTTTTCGGTTCCCAGTTCAATTTATTACATTTATCGATATCATATGCAAGAAAAATACCTAGAACTTTAATGGTTTGGGTAGACTATTTTTATTAACAACATTTATGTTTCCACTTTCTACAGCTACCAAACCACACGGCTTCGGATTTTTCCTCCTTCACCTTCAACCCGAACAGCTCTCAAAATCCTTCTTAATATTCCGTACTTCAACAACTGCTTCAATTTACTGTTTTATACACAAAAATTTTGTATCATCTGAAAGTTTATCGATACATGCTCCATTTACTGTATTTCTCGGCGGCAATTCTGAACTATGACGCATTTTGAATGTCAGTAATTCAACAAATAGAACAAACTGTGCATTGATGGGGGAAACCACTCGTCGTTATTAACACAACCACTATACATAACTTTAAACCACTTTTCAAACACTTCCCAAAATAATATACATACATTCATTTCGTATGTAACCCCCAAATCGACACGATTAAAAGATTTTTTTTAAATCAATGTATAAATTATACTGCAAAGTGTAATAAAAGGAATCTTGGATTAGTCTAACTACTTCAGCAACTCTGTCTTCTCCTATACCCAACCTGGTCTGGGTTTTTCAAGAATGTAGCACAAGTTTCACCCTATTTATCATTATAAAAGGTAATATATTTTAGTCTGTATATAGACGACTGATAGGCCGCCAGTTCTTCAACAACTGGGGTTCGTTTATCTCAACAAACAAGGTTATCGTATCCCTACGCTGTATATTATTAGTCTATGTTGTTGACAGTGCGCATGCGTTGAAACATTTAAATGAAAGTACGCCAAGCAATGGCCACAACAGGGTGATTTATACTTTCCACACTCCTCACTGAGTTCACGCACTCTAATTCAGATATTCGCTTATCTCATTTTGTCTTTTGTTCTTTGTTTAATCAAATTAATATTACCTTTAATGCATAAGCTTTCCTAGAAGTCTGAAATGTCATTGGAGAATGTCACACGACCCTGTACCATATAGGCCCGTGATTTGAGCACAATAAATTGATTTACCCGACTCCTTTTCCCATTTCTTTTCCTCAGCTGGCAAATTGCGTGTTTCACGTAGAAACAACATTGTCTACCCCATTAACTATCATTTCCATTATCTGTAATCCTTCAAACATTACCAGTCACACAAGCTAAACATTGACCAGTCACTGTCGTCCGAACCAGAGGAAGCAGATAACTCAATTGAACGTCTTCTCTTGTATAATCCCCGTTCCACAGAACTAGATATCACGCTTAACTTATTTGTATTCTTTTCAAGAATATGTCTGAGGCTAAAGTATTTCTTTAGATTATTTTTTGTGTTTTATTGCCGAAATGATTTCCTTCTATCACTTCTTCTTCGCCCAAACTTTGTATTCCACTATGCAAATCTTGTCGGGTCAATACTTGTTGGCGTACTTTGTTGACCTTTAGAAAAGCTGCTATAGTATACACCTCGATGTACATGATATCAACAAAGTGATCACCCAGATCGGTTAATGCTTTTGGACACTGTTATGCCATGTGACCTAACTGTCTAGCACCACTTTCCATTTTGACTCTCATGTTCCGATGTCCAACTATCTTTCAGTGATAACACGTGTATAGCGCTTTTTATGTGCTCGTTTATCTCTATCTCCAAAGGTATATCTCAATTGTGAAATGTGGGAATTAGTTTATTAACTTTTAGCATAAATTATCCATTGTTTACCTTTTGGCGGATATTGCAAGACAATTATACGACTTGTACCAACCACCTGTTTCATACTTCTTATAACTTCAAGCTCTTTCAAATTATTTAAACTTTTACTGACGGTTTCGGAATTTTACCATCAGACCTACGTCTTTTAAACACTTCTCTTCTCGCTAGTCCGACCTCCGTTTAAATCTACCCCATCGCTCTTCTTTTGGCGCAATTGCGTTATGGACTGGCCTTACATTTATCCATTGGTCAATTCCGGCTAAAGATAGCAACGTAGATCAAAAGCAGCTACGATATGTGCAGAAAAAGGACAATATTGTTGTCAAAATCCGGTAAAAACTTCCGAGCACCCAATATCGGCTTGTTACCACTTAGCCGGACATGGGTGAGAAGATGTACATTTTTCTTCTCCTGTTTGACACTTGTTTGTTGATGAACACATTGGATTATGTTTTATCATGAACTAAACGTTGTGTTTATAGCACACAATCGAGAATTTGGTTAGTGAAACAATGCTATTTCCAAAAATGCATACGCATGGCACGCAAACGAACCGTGCATGTGCATATTATTAATCTTTCAGTGAACGAGTATACAGTATGCTGTGGAAGTGTCAGTTTACGATAAATCATAATCCAACAATATTAAAAATCACATATACTTTAGGTCCAGGAAAACAGTTTCTGAAAAAAGCGAAGCGGAACCGTTTCATTTTAATTTTTTTAATTTTTTATTAAAATTGTTTTCTTAATTCTATGTTTGTGAAAATGTTTTCTTTTTTCTTTTATATTTTCTAAAACTAAAAAAATATATATAATGCTGTGACACGCTAATTTTTCATCGATGCAATAGAAACCGTTATATTCTTGTCTTGGCAAGATTGTGCAAGATGTATGGACGATAGCATTTCACTTCGCCTTTGACTGGTCACAAAGAAAAAGTCCTACAAAAGAGTGTATCTGTATATTTTCACTATCGGTTATAAAGTAAGTTGGGCTTTCATGACTATAACTGCTTGTCCGCAGATATCAACACGGTTATCATCTCGGACGACGATACGTAGATCGCCACCACGCGGTGAACATTGGCGAGCTGTAACAGAATAAAATGGTAATGATTTAGAAATAAACATTGAGGATCGTCAACTACGAGAACTGAGTCGGAATAACGTGATCGTTGCTTGTACGCATCCTACTGTGGGGGGCGCCTGCAATTCATCATGTGTCTCCTTCAACTGTGGTTGATGCATTGTACATTATGAAGCATCCTTGTTGTAGCCAGTTAGACAACACCCACAGATTAAGCATTAGGTGCAATATTTTAGTGGGTGAAATAACTAGATAGTTCGACATTTGAAACAAAATCACGCATCAAAAGTCACAAGTTGCAGAGTATGACTCAAAAAAACATAACTGGGAATAAATCGACGAAACAATGGAATTGCACCCACTTGGCGATTTGCTCAAGTAATAAGTACATTAACACGTACGTACCGTATAATTGTTTCTTCTCTAAAACGTTAGACCAATAACCAGCAAGAACGGCATGAGCGGAGCCTAGAACCAACCAAACACGCCATCCATTAGAGGGCTGTACAGGCTGAATGTATTTCGAGCAAGTTAATTTGAAAGACTTATGATTGCGTAGAATGGTAACACACCCCCTGGAATTTCTGGTCTCGAGTGGCAGACACTCCAAGCCTCAAAAGCTCGGGATCTGATAAAGTCTCAGCATTGTATCATTGGGCTTTCTGGACTTATTTGTTTATTGAAAACGTGCGTAGCCTAGTAGTTGTGTGTAAACATTATTCTACATCACTTCGTGAGTGAACTAAACGCTTCAACAAGAAGCATTTTTTCTTGTATTTTTTTTTCTGGTAGAGAAAATAGATGTTGTGTTTTGCAGTCACGTCACAGATTTAATGTGCTTTAATCAGTACGACGTTTTTAACAAGCTTTTTTGATTTGCCCAACACAAGTCTACTCTTCCTGATTTTTTGCCTGTTGCAAGTTGCACTTTCTGGCAACGAACAATTATCATGAATGGGCGTCGTTCGTTAAAGTCCATTAATAAAAACACTGTTTTTTAATAGATTGGTTATATCTATAATTTATTTTCTAGCTCACTCGAAACTTCGCTTAAAATGACGTAGTATTGCGATGCTGTTTAATTCAGGTGTAGCTAGGCCATTTCACTGGCGCATTTTTTCTGTACCTTCTGGGGTCACATTTTCTTCAGCTTGGACATGTGCAAACAACTCACAAACACTTTGACGTTGACAACAATACTTCTAACTTTTTGTTGTTTTATTTGATTGCCGTTACCATTGACTAAACAAGGCTCTCAATCAGAGAACTCTCGGAACGAGCAAAGTTAGCACACACCGGGTACCATAACTGGTCGGTGGTGGCGCACTTCAAGCGTACCTGTCACAGGATCTTCTGAAATTCCAGCCCATGGAGCGAAGTAGCGAGATATGAAGTCGTACACTTCACCTTCATCATCTACGCATCCACCTTGTTTTGTTCCCCGCAGCGTTACCATGACACCACGCACGTGACTTCCATCTTCAATATTCAGTAAAGAATTGCTGTCAGGCCGCTTCATACTTTCTAGGTCGTTTCTGAAAATAATAATATTGTTGGGTCATCCCAAAAAAAGACTATGCCTGATGATCAATGACGCCGTTACTGTAAACTCATTAATTAATCACCAGTTTTTAATTTCGATATTTTCGCTGATGAGTAAAATTCGCTAATTAAGTCCAGGTCAATACGTAAAATACCAATAGATGTTTCTGTTTCCCTGCCAAATACGGAACTGAGAACCCAGTTGAAAAAATATGGTTTTACAGTATTGTCTTATTGTTTATGTTATTGTTGTTTGCTGTTGTTCTTGTGCTTATATACACCAAATTGAGGAGTCACGTGATAGTAAACAGGAAAACAGAAATTTACACATTTGTTTGCGTCTATA